GTTGGTATTCTGACGTATTCTTCCTTCTACCCTGACGTATTCTTCCTTCTATTCTTCCTTCTACCCTGACGTATTCTTCCTTCTACCCTGACGTATTCTTCCTTCTACCCTGACGTATTCTTCCTTCTAACCTGACGGGTTCTTCCTTCTAACCTGACGTATTCTTCCTTCTACCCTGACGTATTCTTCCTTCTAACCTGACGTATTCTTCCTTCTACCCTGACGTATTCTTCCTTCTACCCTGACGTATTCTTCCTCCTACCCTGACGTATTCTTCCTCCTACCCTGACGTATTCTTCCTCCTACCCTGACGTATTCTTCCTTCTACCCTGACGTATTCTTCCTTCTATTCTTCCTTCTACCCTGACGTATTCTTCCTTCTACCCTGACGTATTCTTCCTTCTATTCTTCCTTCTACCCTGACGTATTCTTCCTTCTACCCTGACGTATTCTTTCTATACTTGACGCCAATATATATTGTACATTACTAATTGTCATGATATAAAAACAAATTGATTAGAGAACTACTTATTTAAAATTTTCATTTGACATTCTTTCTATACACACAATATATATTGTACATTACTGATATCAAATTGATTAGAGAACTACTTATTTAAAATTTTGGTTTGAGTTATCTCCCTTCAATAAAAATGAAAATCAATGTTTTCAGTTTCTCTTTGGTTAAAATATGATAGCCAAGTGTATTGAATTGATAATATAGAATATGTAACAAGATAAGTAGTGATAACTGCAAATAAACCATTAAACGACCTAAATTTTACATAAATAAGAGTACATTCACAAAATATAAACAAATAAATATATAAATAAGATAACACATTTTCTGTTACTTAAGTGTGAATTTTCATGCAAAAATTATATCTGAATGGTTGCAGGGTCCTTTATAGAAAATAACAGTAAAACTTTCGAAATATGATTCTGTTTGGTTGTAGGTTTTTTTTTTTTTTATATTTATTTTATTTTTTCATTTTTTCATTGTATGTACACAAAGAAGTTCACACACACACACACACACGCAACATGTATACATACATTACATCACACACATATCATCCAACATGTATCATCATACACATTATCATCACACACATCATCATTAAACATGTATCATCATACACATCATAAACATCATCACACACATCATCATTAACATGTATCATACACATACACATCATCATCATACATCATCATCATTAACATGTATAAACGTCACACACATACACATTATCATCACACACATACACATCATTAAACATGTATCATCATACACATCATAATTAAACATGTACCATCACACACATCATCATTAAACATATATTCTCATACACATCATCATCATACACATCATAATTAAACATGTACCATCACACACATCATCATTAAACATATATTCTCATACACATCATCATCATACACATCATCATTAACATGTATCGTCATACACATCATCATTAAACATGTATTATCATACACATCATCACCATACACATCACAATTAACGTGTATCATCATACATATCATCATCATACAACACATCACCATTAACATGTATCATCATACACATCATCCTCATACACATCATCATTAAACATGTATTATCATACACATCATCATTAAACATGCATGTATTATTATACACATCATCACCATACACATCACCATTAACATGTATCATCATACATATCATTAACAGTATTATTATACACATCATAAGTATACACATATCATACACACATATCATACACATCATCATTAAACATGTATTATCATACACATCATCACTTACATGTATTATCATACACATCATCCTAATACACATATATATCATCATTAGCATGCATCATCATACACATCATCACTAACATGCATCATCATCATCATCATCATCTACGGATTTGTCAAATTGTGAGTGTTCATCATATATCTAATGTACAGCATAAATAATCAACTTTTTTTATATTTATTTTATTTTTTGCATTTTTTCATTTTATGTACACAAAGAAGTTCACACACACACGCCCTTACATACCTACATACATACATACATATAAGAAAAAAGGAGAGAAGAGACAGATTATGATAGAAAATGGTTAGATAGAGGAGAGAAAGAAGGCAGATGGCTAGAGAGAGGAAGAGAGAAAGAAAGCAGATAGGGAAGGAAACAGGAAGGAATTCAAGACTTAAATAAAACTATATAAAGCAGATGGTGATTTTAAATAATTTACCAAACTGAAAATTTGTTGGTACAGATGATGGCCATTGTCAGGGACTGGTAACCATATCAGGTTTATTGATTCATATTCAAAATTAAGTATTGAGTATCTTAATTATGTTTGAGTAAAAAAATCATATATCGATATAGTACCAGAGTGGTAGTAATATTAGTCGTTCATGATTTTTATAAATTTCTCCCATTTTTTCCACCCTAGTGCAAATTTGTCTTTAACCCTTTCCCCTTTAGTATACGTGATATATTTTTGAACCTTATAATAATCATGGATGGCACAGGTTAGAGCATTAATGCTGAGGGACTTATGTAAACATCTAGTTCTGTAAATATATTGTTTTATGAGTAAAATAATTTGGTTATCAACACTATATATTAGGTTGGTCCCATTATCTATCTTGCCAAAAAGTATTGTTTGTTTGTTAACAGTAAAAGGAATATATAAAGCATCTAGTAATCTATCTAGACTTTGCAAAAGATTCTGGACTTCATCACATTCCCAAAACAGGTGTACAATTGTTTCTGTCTCAGCATTACAGAGAGTACATAAAGGACTATCTAATATCCTTACTTTAAAAAGAAATGAGTTTGTAGTTAAGATGTTGTGGGAAATTCTAAACTGTAGCCATTGAAATTTGGAACTTTTAGTGACTTGAAAAGGTAATGTATATATAGCTAGCCAGTCATCATTTGTGAAATCAAAATGTTCCCCCCACTTTTCCCTTCCCTTGGACACAAGTGATTTAATATTGTTAAGTATTCCATAAAATCTCTTTGAACCTTTATTGATATCTAAAAAAAATAGATATGTGGACTGGTAGAGTAGGACGTATAAATTTATACTCAACAATATTATAATTCTGCAAGCTTTTCCTTATTGCTGAAATTATTGCATAATATTTCAAAAAATCAGTGTTTATGTTAAATTTCTGAATAAATTCCTCATATGAAAACAAAGTGTTATTACTAAAATCCTTAACAAAATCACCAATTAGATAAACACCTTTTTCATACCAGTGTGGGTAGAAGATTGTTTTACCTCCAATGGTAATATTACAATTATACCATACAGGTGTTAGCAAGAGTGATTTCCCTTTGATTGTTTTCATATTTTCTGAATTTTCTAATCTCCCCCAAGCTTTTAATACATCTTTCCAAAACAAATTATCACATATATCTGTACTTACCTGAATAAAAGTGCCTCCAATATCTAAAAGCCTATTAATGTTTACGGATTTTATCAGAATACATTTCCATTTTCCAGAAGACTGATATAACCGTTTGATCCAACTCAATTTCAATGAATCGATAAAATTAGCAACATGCAGCATTTTTAACCCACCAACTGTATAATCCTGAACTATAGTTTCTCTTTTAACTTTATCAACTTTACTGTGCCATAGAAATTCAAATAATATAGAGTTAATTGTCTGGATTGTTTTACCATCTGGATTGGGCAGGGAAATAAATAAATGATTAAACTGTGAAATCATCAAAGATTTAATTAAGTGGATTTTTCCTATGGGAGTTAAATTGCGTCTACTCCAAGTATTTATAAGGCTTTTTAGTTTTACTATTTTCTTATCAAAGTTCATTCTGACCATTTCATGGAGATTAACACTGAAATCAATACCCAATAAACAAAATGTTTCTTTTCCCCATTGTAAGTCTAATTCTGGTAAAAATTTATCTTGACTGTGTTTCTTGCTACCGATCCAAATGACTTCTGTTTTATCGGTATTCATTTTTAAGCCTGAGATATCTGCAAATGTTTGTAATTCACTTATTGATTCTCTTAGGGAGTGTTCCGTACCATCTAAAGTCAAATAAGTATCATCTGCATACTGAGAAACTAGAATGTCTGTATCATCAACTTGGATGCCATGTATATTTTTATTGTTTCTGAATCTAATTGCAAGAATTTCTGCACAGAGAATAAAGATGTATGGTGCTACCGGATCGCCCTGACGACAGCCTCTTTTAATAGAAAAGAATGATGACAGATTACCCCCTTGATTTACTGAAGCCCCTACATTTCTATGAAAAAGTTTTATCCAGTTACGTATACTATTTCCAAAGCCAAAATAAATCAATACCTTTTCTATGAATTTCCAGGACACTGAGTCAAATGCCTTTTCAAAATCTACCATAAGAATCATACCAGGAATGTCATTATCTTCTGTGAATTTCATAACATCATATAGTAGCCTAGTGTTTTCACCAATGTATCGACCCGCTAAAAACCCCGTCTGATCCTTATTTATGAGTTTATCAAGTACGGATTTTATCCTTTTTGCAATTACCCCTGAAGCTATTTTATATACAATGTTCAATAGAGTTATTGGTCTCCAGTTTTTAATAAAATGGCGTGGCTTACCTTTCTTTGGAATGCAAGTAATAATCCCATAACGTTGTGTGATTGATAATTCCCCTGTAATGTATCCATAGTTTAAAGACCTAACAATAAAAAGACCAAGTTGTTTCCAGAAAAACTTGAAAAATTCAGCCGTATAACCATCTGAACCAGGACTTTTGTTATTTTTCATATTTTTTAGAATATTATATGCTTCTTTAATAGTTACTAATCCTTCTAAATTTCTAGACTCAGCTTCATTAAGTTTTGGAATGTTTTCAAAATCAAGAAAAGTTTCGAGAGTTATATCATCTAAATTATTATTTGAGTCATAAAGTTTTTCATAAAAATACCTTATTTCATTCAAAATATCTTCTTGTTTTGTTACAAAACTACCATTACTAAGCTGTACTTTAGGGATAATTTTAGAAGTGAAATTTCTATTTTCTAGATTAAAAAAGTAACTAGTTGGCTTTTCTCCTTCCTCTTCCCATTTAGCTCTTGATCTCACTATACTTCCCTTAATTTTTTTAACTCTAATTTCCTCCAGTTCCCTCTTCTTTCTATCTATTTCTGCTACATCAATAATCTCTTCTTTTTCCAATGCCTCAATAGACTTATTAAGCTCATTTTCCTGTATATTTTGTAATTTCTTTTTGTAAGCAGCATACGATATAGTTTTACCTCTAATATTCATCAACAAAGTTTCAAGAAATAACTGATCATTGATTTTCAATTGTAATTCATCATCCGCAATAAGATCAAGATTTTCCAAATTGTAAACAGGAAGACAGTATTGCACTTTTGTTTCATTAATTACATTTTTAACAACGTCTATATATTCTGTATCATATAAAAGAGAGTTATTAAATTTCCATAATCCTTTACCTTTTTTAAATTCCTGAAGTTTAACTGTAAGTTTCGGAAAAGAGTGATCAGAACGATAACCTGCCTCTATAGATGGCCCTTTCACACTACCTAATAAATTTTCTGAAATTAAAAAGAAATCTAATCTTGACTGTTTCAATGGATTTTTTTTCCTCCAAGTATACCTTTGGTAATCAGGGTAATACTCTCTAAAAATATCAACTAGATTATAATTTTTAATAATATCTAAAACTTTATCTCTAGCTTTTGGGTTATTCACAGTGGTGTAACTATTATCGTAATCTTTATTTGGATCTAGAACAAGATTAAAATCTCCACATATCATTACCTTATCATTTCCAAAACTATCAATTGTGTCAGACAATGTATTGTAAAAAAATGGATCATCTAAGTTGGGCCCATACAAGTTAATAAGCGTAATACACATATCTTTCAGTTGAACTTCAACTGCCAGAAAATTCCCAGTCATATCCTTCTTTTCCTTAGTTACTTTAAATTCAAAATTATTATTAAATAGAATAGCAACACCCCTAGAATTCGATTTAAAAGAATTAAAATAGCATTCATATCCCCACTCACTACGAATCATGCCTTCCTTTTCCCTGATGAAATGGGTATCTTGTATACAATAGATATTATAATGTTTCTGTCTTAAATAAGAAAACACATCTTTTCGTTTGATATGATCCCCCAGTCCCTGACAGTTAGCCGATAGAATATTTAATTCATCCATAATCGAAGTGATATATGTGATCACCAGTAGGAAAAAGCTTCACCATAAAAAAACTTGCGAGAAACAGGAAAGCGGCAGAGAGAAAGCTAGTAGTCGAGAGAACCATCTCTAGATCCAGATGAGGTAGAAGAAAAAGGAGCATTAAAGTTCTGCAGAGAAGAAATGAAAGAGGTGTAAGTAAAAGCATTTTTGAGTGGCCAAGACACACTGGACCACCACCGAGCACTTACAAAATCCAGCTGAGAGCAGGTCTGCTTGTTGTTATCACGGATAGCCGGAAGTCAAATGTACAGACTAAACATAAGGGTAAAAACCGGACCGGATCAAATTTTCCGGAAATATATGGTATTACAAGGAAAATGAATACGGCTATTATGGCATCATTCAAATAGAGAATATATATATATATATATATATCTGTAAAAATACTAAATCAAATAATAATGAATGGGATATATATAAGGTAATAGATAAATAAATAGATCATAATATAAGTACATGAGGAAAAAGAAGAAAATTTAGATCACCATAAGCAAACGAAAGCAACTCACCCTATAAGCAATAGGAAGTCCTTAATCCATTACATCCCATGAATTCTATACACTCACATCGCACATACATGTATGCCACAACCATTATATTATATATACGAGAAAAAAAAACCCAGACAACGTCGGTCTTTGAGACACTAGCTTGTCTGAGAGATCGGCACCAGTTCACATGACTGGTGTGTAAAGTCCTTACCGATCTCTATTATGGCACAGTTAGATCCTGAAGTTGTCATCGTTTAATAGGAATGATTCCTCCAGTGGCGTGTCAAACATGAGTCTTCGTCTTTTCCCATTAGTAAGAACCACGAACAGTTTTCCGTCAGAACTGTAGGAGTTCTTTACACAGTTCATTCTGTATGCGTCCTTGAGTATCTGCTGATTTAGTCGCGTAAGATCCTCAAACACCACAAAGTTAGTTCCTTTCAGCTTCTTGCGGGCACGAAGAATTTCCTGTTTTTTCCATCTATGTGTAAACTTTACAATAATGTTCCGTGATTTGGAGGCACTAAATTTACCCAGCCTATGGGCGATGTCAATATCTCTCTCCTGCACAGGAACCTTCAAAGTATCACGGACAAATGTAACAACCGAGCGAACACAGTCCTCTACAGTTTCTTTCGTGTTTTCATCTTGGATCCCAACAATCCTCAAAGAATTCTTTCGTCCCTGTTGCTCAAGGCCATTGTATTTGCCAATCATTTCACTATGCTTTTCCTTGACTTTTTCACACTGTTCCTCCAATTTCGACACTGTGAGTCTGAGATCCGTATTCTCATCCTCAAGATCTGAGACTCTGTTCTCCAGTAGCTCGATTCTCTCCGCGTGCTCTCTCTGTATCTCAATCTTTAGTTTCTCGAGTTTTGCGTCTAGAATATCCTCAGTAATAAGTGTCCTGAGAATCATAGAAATTTCATCAAGTCTCTCGTCCGTAGATTTTTCGGTAGGAGGTTGTAGGTTTTATCAAAATTTAATTTCAAGAAGTAAATTTCTCATTTTCTCAGGAACGAAATACATCTCTAAAGAACTACATGAAAATACCGATAACTTTTGGTAATGGTCTTTGGCAAGTAATAAAATCGAAAATGAGCAACAGGGAAACTGCAGAAATTAGACATTTTATAGCTTGTACGTTGTAAAAGGAATCACAGATATGACCAATTATAGATTATCTCCATGTGAATGATTAATCGCATGCATGACAAAAGACAACCGTTTGTGGTTGAGTAACCAAGCGGACATCTTTATCTCTGCGATTCGTTGTATTGGTAGCATATTTACCCATACGATTGTTGATAACCCATCGTGTGCTTGTGGACATTACTGTGAGGATGTTGGTCATTTTTTCCTAGAATGTAAGCTTTATAACAGAGTAAGAATAACGTTTTTTTTTTCAAAGTATAAACATGTTGAATATAGATCAAGTGAATTCACATCTATTTTTACCTGGAAATGAAAATCTGTCCCTAACAACCAATACAGAAGTATTCAGACACGTGCAAATTTTTATCAAATCCAGCAACAGATTTTAAGTAAAATGTACTAACTGTTGAATATATTATGTATGCCTTGTTAATGTTATCATGTAAATATTATCATGTATTGTATTAGAGGAAAAGGCGGTCATAAGTTGAAATAACTTCTGCCTAATCCTCTGCTCAATTTTGGGGCAATACATGTGTTTAAATCAAATCAAACCATATTAGGTTGAAGTTTTCGATACCCGGAAGAGTAAGCGTCTTCTGCTTCATCGGCGACACCTACCATGTAAACATTGATCAATTCAAGTAGGTAATGTCACGTTCGCAAGTAATAACAAAGTATACAACAACGGAACCATTAGGCATATTAACGGGCATCAAACACGTCCAGCTTTATATCACACAAAGAAATAGAATATTTCTCAACGATAGCACTATTACGACTGTAGAAGTTCCCATACTTTAAACCAACCTGCATCGTTTGAAACCTTGTGTTACGAGTTTGTCCGTCAGTTGATGACTTCATGCACGAAAATCATGATAATGCGTACAGTCCCTTGGATATCGAATATACTTCAACATGTAAACACGTGGTCAATAATTTTTGTTTTGGTAAATAAAGGCAAGTCGTCATCGATATATCTGAAAGTGAAATGAAATGCAAGGTCTGTGTGACCTGTTTTGATAAGCCCTTCCATGAATTTAGTTTCGTATGAAAACAAAGGCCAGCCAACAAAGGGATGCAGTTAGTTCCCATATATTTGCCAATAGTTTGTAGGAAGATCTACCACCAAACCGGATGAAGATGTTGTCAACTAATAACTGTATGATTTTTATGATTTCGTCCTCCGTATATTTCCTCTTTGATTAGACTTGTATTATTATTTTTTGGGGGGGTTTACGAAATACGCTACAGTGTAGTATGAATTCACATATTTATACATCTGTTTAACCCTCTTAGCTCTCATAAAAAGAGAACGAATGCATTCTCTCCGTTTAGAATGGGCCTCATGGTGGAACCATCAAATGTTCCTATAGAATATTTTTTTAAAAGAGAGCGTAGCTGAAAATTGGTCAAAAGCTCTTTGAATTTCGTCGAAATAAACATACTCTGAATTCCACCTCTTGAGTAAACAGTATCACATTACGACGGTAATCAGATTCTAAACAAGGTAGAATGACAGTTAGTAAATTTGAAAAGGTTTGTTTGAAAAGCTAGACAAGCCAGCAAGAATCGTTTGTTTATATTGATTCTTGTGAAGTTAATTTATCCAATCTAAACAGAGAAGGTCTGCATCTTTATCATTGATAGGCAAACTAAGTGAAACTAATAACGAAGCTTGTTTAGCCAGTATTTCGTCTTTTGAAATATTGCATAATGTATAGGTAAGGTTTTCCTTCGTTATGAAGAACGCCCGGCTGGTTTTAGCATACAGGAAATATCATAATGTGATAATGTTAACATTAGGTATTCCCCTCTTTCGTAAGGCCAAACAAATCTGTGAAAATCTAAAGCAAGTAAAATATCGAATATAATCAACATAGTAATCGATTGATAGATACATTTTCATAGAAGCTGTCGAGTCGCTACGAAGTCGATCGTAATCTATGGTTCAGTAAAAGGCTGATCACTTGTAAGGCAAAAAGTATTTTCTCTAGATCAGGATAACTCACCGCCAGTAATATAGAACATTCCATCCCTCTATTCATGTTTGTCTTTATGTGATTGTGGCTTATCAAAGGTGGGAACAATTCAACTTGGCTTGGTGACGGCGGAGACTTCAGTTTAATTTCTCCTTGCAATACCCATATTTTAATTATGTGTGATCACCCTATTGTTGCTTCCGTGCATCTTTTCAGCAGCTAAAACTATTTCTTATGTGCATGGCTTTGTTTGACTTGTATATAGTATTATATTCAGACATTTGTACAATATATACTTCACTGATGAAACCAAGGGGTTACAACGATGCTTGTGAAAGTATATATTATTCCCATGTCCCTACATGGGCGCCAATGTAACAGAGGTCATTATAAATTCCAATGC